TGGAGAGAAACTTCTGGAGCTTCAGGCTCATGACGAAGACATTCTATGCTGTGCCTTTTCTCCAGATGACCGTTACATTGCAACCTGCTCCAGTGACAGGAAGGTTAAGGTTAGCGTGTCTGTCTCTGTGCCCACTTTATTTGCTGGTCAGTATCTTTCTGTAGGGCAATAGTTTGCTCCAGATTTGTTCTGTTACAAATGTGTAAACGGTTTCTTATCCTTTTTGTTGCTTGACCGACATCAGACTCTATACTGTCATTATGTGGTAAAGTTCTGTGAACATTTTTCAAAAGTCAGTCAGGAGAATAAGGTTTGTTTTGTGTGTTGTAGTTGTGGAGTGTTGAGCGAGGTACTCTTATCAGAGAGTTTGGGGAGGAACACGAGGAGCAGATAAACCACTGCCAGTTCACCAACACAGGCCGACGTGTCCTGCTGGCCACCTGCTCAAACGACAAATTCACCAACACTAAGGTGAGATGTTTTTAAGAGTTTTAAATTTGTACTTTTTAAAATGTATTTTTTTTTTTTTTAGTAGTGAATAGTAGGATAGCTTTTTTTTTTGGTTTACTTTTTGAATTTTTTGAATTCTTTGAATTTTTACTAGTTAAAGTGGTCATCGGATGGCCATTTTCCACAAGTTGAATGAAATGAATGAAGTCTTAATGAAAAGTCTGTAACATAGTTTGGTTAAATTTTCTCAATGCTAGTGTAAAACACAGTTTTTACCCTGTGAAAAACGGCTCTGTCTACAGCAAGCAGTTTTATTGCATGTTGCTTTAAATGCAAATGAGCTCTGCTCACCGCCCCTCTCTTCCGAGAGACGGTAAACTTTAGCCGTGTTCATCGTGAAACTCGCTAACTAGCACATTATTGGGAAAGGTGATTTGCAAAGATTCATTAAAAAGCCTTACACTCACTTTGTGGAGGTGAAGCTGGATCACGAATGATTCGCATGAAGATAGACTCATTTAGGTAGTTCGAGGGCACGTTCCCTTCAAAAACAAACGTAATCATCTGAGATCAGCTCGATTTGAGAAAAGGGAAGGGATTTAACGATTTAAAAAAAACAACAAAAAAAAAACACTTGGGATCTCTATCATTATAGGGTGGTTGTGTACACACTGCCAACACGCATTTCAGTTCACACAGCTTGTAAAAGTGCATGTCGCATCCGATGACCCATTTAAGATTTTTTTTTATGTTTTTACTTCGGAAATTTTTGAATTTGTTAGAATTTCTTGTAGTTATAATTTGTTTGATTTAGAATGGTTTTCATTTTTGCTGTTTTTTTTTTTTATTCATTAATTACGTTAAGTACATTGTTGTACGAGTACTCGGTTCTAGTTATCTTTGACAGAAAAGTGAGATTCAAGATCGGTTTGTAATTAACTAAATCTTTTGGGTCAAATTGTGTTTTTTTTAATGAGAGGCTTAATAAAAGCCAGTTTGAAGGTTTTGGGACATATCCTAATGACAATGACAAATTAATAATAGTCAAAAGAGGATCTATGACTTCTGGAAGCTGCTCTCTCAGGATCTTAGATGGAATAGGGTCTAGCATACATGTTGTTGGTTTAGATGATTTAACAAGTTTATAAAATTCTTCCTCTCCTATAGTAGAGAATGTATTTGCATTTCCTCTTTCCACATTTAGAGGCAGATTTGGTGAACATGAGTAATGAGAATGACAGCTGGTAGGACGCTCGCTCAGAACAGCAGAGGAGGGGAACGGGGCAGCCGTGTAATTTTACAGCTTGTGAAATTTGCAGTAAGAATTGTGGGAGATCCGTAGGAGTGTGACAGCAGGAGTCTGCAGTTGAGCTGTATTCAATTGAGGGTGCGAAAAACGGAGAGTGAGCAAGCACGGTGTCAAAAAACGTAATGAGAGCAACCCCCCGGTGGAGGCGTGAGCACAAAAGGGGCATTTGGTGAAATATCTCGGCATGAGGAGTGAAAGAAACGCCCTGAAATGAGATTTGGAGAATGTAACTGCAGGAAATGTCTTGTTCAACACATCTGCTGACTAAATATGTTCTTCTCTTATATAGGCTGTCCTGTTCAATAGACCCTGACAGAATGATCAATATCCCTACACAAAGCATACGTTATCCCGTTCTTCTATTAGTCTTACCCTTTTGCCCTCTTTCATTTCTTTCCATCTTCGTTTTTCTTGCAGCTATGGAACCCCAACAAGCCGACTTCTCAGAACACTATGTTTGGACACATGGAACCTGTCAATCACTGTTGCTTTTCTCCTAACGATGCCTACCTCGCCACTTCATCCAGTGACGGCACCTTGAAGGTTGCTTGACTCTTTCTTTGCTTTGATTTATTTATTGGCTAGCTGTTTTACTTGCCCATTTATTGTATTTGATTAATTTGCCTGCTTATTTAATGCATGCTTTGTTTTAATTTTAATGCGTTTATTATAGAATTTTTTTATTTTATTTTTTTATAGAGATTATAAAAACCGCTTAATCTACAACCTCATCTATTTATTTACATTCACATTTATAAGAGTGTCAAACTGCTGGATCATCTTTGGTCAGTACAGGTGTTCTCTTATCGGTGTTTCTTGCACTGTTGTCTTTTGTATCTGTCAGCTGTTTGAGGTGTCATCTGCGAACGAGTGGAAATCTATTGATGTCAATAGTTTTTTCCCAGAGAGTGACGATGAAATAAAAGCCATCGTGAAATGCAGCACTTGGTCAGCCGGTGGCTCACGGATCATTTGTGCTGCCAGAAACGCTGTGTTTGTAAGTGATTTTGTGAGTGGTGTTGTGAAATGAGTTGGCATCGCCACTCAATATTTTTTGATTTAGTGCCTG